CTCTTCATTACTTTAGAGAGGTTCCCAACAGCAGACTTTCCCATGGCAATGCGTCTTTTAATTTCCTGGCTACTGGTGCCAAGAGTGTTGACTGTGGAGCCAAGCAAACTAAAGCTGTGAACAATCTCAATCTCTTATTATTTGCATGACAACACTCCAGAATAAGAGTTGCATAATAAAGTGGACTGGGGGGAGTGGATTGTGCGGCAATGAAAGAATTTCTTTTTTCCAAAAAGAAAAGCAAATTGGGGTGGGGTCGGAAGGGAGGAAAATGTGCAAGAATGAATGAATGGAAATCCAAGTTCTCTACAAACGTTCATTAAAATCTCTATTTTTTTTTAAAAAAAAATCTCTATTTTTAAAATAAATCATTATTGTAGAACAAGTATGAGGATCCAAGTGGGACAGGGTACAGCCGAGGGGAAAAGGTGGGCAGGGGGCAAGGGTGATTAATCATAGGGTTGCACAGTTGATAAAAAAAGGAAAGGATGGGTGAGGCAAATGGGAAATATCCAGTGTGGAAAACAATGTTATAGGAACTTTGTAAATAAACCTGTACTAAATAACCAAAATAAAACAAAAACCAAACTTCTCCAACAGGGTAAGAAGGAAAGCCATAGACAGGTAAAAAATATTTGGTAATGACATATCTGATAAGGGACTCCTATCTAAAAGTTATAGAATACTCCAGAACCTCAACAAGAATAAGGTAAATAACCCAGTTGCAAAATGAGTACAGGATATGAATAGACACTTCACCAAAGAAGACATTGAGGTGGCAAACACATGAAGCTACCAGAGAGATGCAAATAAAAACAACTATGAGATATCATCTCACCTTGACAACAATAGCAAAGTTCAACAGAGGAGCAAACAGCAAATGCTCGCAAGATCGTGGAGAGCTTGGAACAGTTATTCACTGCTTGGAAGTGCAAAATTATTCAACCATTATGGAAAGCAGTTTGGCACTTTCTCAAAAAGTTGGAAATAGAAAAACCACTAGACCCAGCAATTGCACTGCTGGGAATAAGCCCTAAAGAAACCAGACAGAACCTGTATCCAAACAGAAGTATACACACTCAAGTGTATTCCTGTGTTGTTTACAATAGCAAAGAGATGGAAACAACCCAAGTGCTCATCAACAAACAAATGCATAAAAAAACTATAGTATATTCACACAATGGAATATGATGTAGCACTGAAAAATAACGAACTTGTAAAACATGTCACAATATGGCTGGCCCTGGAGGACATCATGTTGAGTGAAATGTCTCAGTCTCAAAAGGACAAATACTGTATAGCACTACTATTATGAAGTAGGACTGACATTGGGATTTGGGAGGAGAACAGGAAAAAAGTGGAGATAATGAACACTGTATTGGAACAGATGAGGGAGAGAATTGTTTAAAAGAAATATAATTAGGCATTATATGTAAGACAATGATCCAGAATAAGAGGTACATTGCAAAGACAATTGGGAAAAGGGGAAAGGAAAGAAGGTAAGAGAGGAAATTGTACAACAGTGAATGAATATTAAGACGAAAAAAAAATTCTTCACCACACATTCCCTTGCTGCAAATGCAGCTATTAAATCACTGAAAAGTTCTCAAACCTTTTCCTGCCCTAAAATTCAAACAAACTCATTGCTATCAAGTGGGAATCAAATCATAGCTAACTTTCCAGCAGGTTCTTGGAGACTGTATTTCACACAGGACGAGACTGCCTAACTTTTTCCTGCAGAGACACTGACGGATTTGAATTCTCAAAGAGGCACCTCCTTTGAACTAGCAGTGCAACCCCCTACAGACGATACCACCAGAGCTCCCTTTCCTTGCATTATGTGATGCTAAAATAAGAAACATATGTACCTATTTCAACTTATCTACAAATTCACTTTGAAGGCACACTTAAGAGCAGATCTCATCCGTAACCCAGAGATTGCCTGTACCTTCTTTTAAAGGTGCCATGTTGTTCTTTTAGCAGAATATGGGGCAGTATCTTAGTGTCGGAGCACATCTAGGTCAACTGGCAGAATACAGTCCATAAGACAATGTTCCACATCCTACTCTGATGAGTAGTGTCTGGGACTTAAAGACTGCAACTATCCATCTACGAAACAACTATTGATCTCTCCTTGTTTAGAGAACAAAGAAAGAAAATGAAGACTTGGAAAAGTAAATCATACTACTACTAACCACAATACCTCTGACCGAAGATCAGAAGAATTAACCAGTGCCAGGTTACCAGTACTGATCATGTGAATCAACATCACAATAAAGAGAACTAGGTGGAATGGGTTAACACCCATGAAGAGTGTGCTCATTCTATAAGTTCATTTTATAAGGAAAAGAAATTAGAGAAGAAAATTAAAAGTCCTAAAGAGCTACTGGTCTAAAATTAACTTGAAAGAGGCTTGTGATTACTGCTTTTGAGAAACCTTCTAACTTGAAACTGGACACTCTCAGGGGTCACCTTCCATTCAGATAACAGACAGGCCTGTAGAACAAATAACAATATCTGCTAAGAATGTACTTCTCTTATGCAACAATGAAAGAATTGTTTTTTTAAAGTGAACAGGGATGGAAAGGGATTAAAATGTGCAACAATGAATGAATGAAAATCCAACTTTTCTGTAAACTTTTGCTTAAATCACAATGTTTTTGAAAGAAAAAGAATGTACTTCTCAGAACAGTCAACTCTATGAGACCAAACACTTACCCAAAACGAAGGATGAGAAGACGGCAGCGTCAGAGAAACCAAATTAAAATGGAGAATCCAGAGAGGATATAGGGAGAGTGCTGACACACTTCAGGGATTACAAACTCTTTCACTGAAGAGTTGATATATGAACTATTGACTGGAAAATTACTTTGCTAAATAAAGTTTCACCTAGAGCATAATAAATGTGGAGGATTTTAAGGGGGGGAAAAGGAATATGGATCCATGTTTTTTTACTTATAAAAAAGAAGAACTATTGAACACAAACTATCATAAAAAATAGCCACCGGAAGAGATAAGGGGTGGTTTAAGTCACAGAGCTATGACACAGGTAAACTCTGAACACATGATACTCAGTGAAATAAGTTAAACACAAAAGGACAAAGACTATACAATCCCACATATTCAAAGTAGACAAACTTGGAAAATGTATTGAGACAAAAGCTTCTCAGGGGTTATCAAGGATGATAGGAGGAATGGAGAGAGAGGATTTATCACTTAGGGGACATCAAGCTTCTGCTAAGGGAAATATAAAAACTTTGGGGGGGAAACCCAAGGGTGATGTTTGTAAAGTATGATGAAGATAACTTATGTCACTAAATCATGTTTATGAAGAGTGTTGAAGTAGAAAATGTTCTGTTACATATTGACAAATGTTTTCTTTTTTTTAAGTCATAAGGGCTCTTAGAAGGGTTAAAAGCTATTCCTAATACTAACTTACCCAAGTGTTATCCTTAGTTAGGACTGGAAGTTTCTGGTAAAAGAAAAACAAATAGAAAAAAGAAAACATTTTATGACTATTTTCTTAGTTACAAATTCCACATTTTTTTCTAAGTCACTATATTAATAACTTTTTTCTGTCATTAGGTATTTATTAACTTAGGGAGCACTAGTGGCTTAATGGGTAAAGAGATGCACTACCAACCGGAAGGCAAGTAGTCCATGTGTAGCAGCTATTATGCAGGAAAAAGATGGACAGTCTCCTCCTGTGCAATTTACAGCCTCTGAAATCCCACTGGAGGGCCAGTTATAAGTCGGTTCTAACTTAACAACACACAACAACAACAAATGTTTTTGTTGTTGCTGCTGTTGTTGTGTGCCGTAGAGTCTGAACCAACCCACAGCTGACCCTCCAGCGAGTTTTCAGAGGTGGATAATTTCACAGGAGGAGACTGCCCATCCTCTTCTTGCAGAGTACCTTGTGCATTTGAACTGCATTTCTTCTGAATTGCAGTGCAGCGTCTTGCCACTAGGCCACCAGAGCTCCCTGGAATAATGTTGTTGTTGTATGCCATTGAGTTGCCTGGGACTCATAGTGACTTTATGTACAGCAGCTCTGAAGCCAGCCTCGTCCTGAGCCAGTCTCACTGGCTCTGACACATCAACCCTCATTGCCCCAGTTACTGTATCAATCCATCTCATGTGGGCTCTTCCTCTCCTGTGCTGTGCCTCTACCCTTCCGAGAATGATGTCCTTCTTCAAGGACCAGTTTCTCCTGGCCATGCAGCTAAAGTATATGAGCCAGAGTTTCAAAATCCTAGCCTCCAGGAGAAACTTGGTTTCACCCTCTCCAAGACAGACCTATTGGTTTTCTTGGAAGTCCATAGTATGTTCAAGACTCTTCTCCAGCACCACAACTCAAAGGCATCAATTCTATAATTTTTATGTCATTCAGCTAAAAAATCTATTTTCATTCAGTCTTCCCCAAAAGTTATGTTTGTAACAAATTAATTCAACAAAATATACTTAAGCAAGCAAGGTGTTAAGACATGGTTCCAGATTTCAAATGTTCATTACCCTCTATGGAAGTCTGCCCCCAATACTAATGAGTGCAGTATGGCGTGATTATTTTGTGGCTGAGGAAGATGAAGAGAAGGGCATTTAATTAAAATGGGGCATTGAAGATACTTATCCACACATTACATTGTCGGTTGGTTGGGGTTTTTTTACACGTGTTTTAAAGACTAAGAATCAGGCTAAGCAGGGGCCAGGGCATTGTGCAAACTAAAACAAAAACTTAAACAGTATTAAGTTCTAATTTAAAGATTGTGATAGAAGCATGTGTCTGCTTCATTCTTCTCTCAAAAGATATCCTAAACAAAAAAAAATGCACTTAAACTTTTAACTTGTATATAAAATGTTGTTGTTGTTATGTGTCATCAAGCTGCTTGCGACTCATACCGACCCTATTTACAACAGCCCTAAACTCTGCTCTGTCCTGTGCCAATCACACAGTCTCCGATACACCCATCCCGATTACCCCAGTCACTGAATCAATCCACCTCATAGAGGGCCTTCCCCTCCTGCGCTGTCCCTCCACCCTACGAAGAATGATGTCCCTCTCCAAGGACCGGTCCCTCCTTACAACATATCCAAAGTATGTTAGATGGAGCCTCAGAATCCTTGCTTCCAAGGAGCGGCCTGGATTGACCCTTTCCAGGAAGAATCTGTTTGTTTTCCTAGCAGTCCATGGGACCATCAATACTCTTCTCCAACACCACAGGTCAAAGGCATCAATTCTCCTTCTATCCTCCTTGGTCATTGTCCAACTCTCTGATGCATAACAAGTGATTGCAAGACCATGGCCTGTATCAGACACACCTTAGTCTCCAGAGAGATACCATTGCTCTTCAGTACTTTGGAGAGGTCCCTAACAGCAGACTTTCCCATCGCAATACGTCTTTTAATTTCCTGGCTACTGGTGTCGAGAGTGTTGACTGTTGAACCAAGCAAGCTAAAGCTGTGAACAATCGCAATCTCTTCACCATCCATCCTGATGCTGCCAATTGGTCCAGTGGTGAGAATCTTTGTCTTCTTGACATTGAGCCTCAATCCATATTGAAGGCTGCAGTCCATGATCGTCTGCAGCAAGCACTTCAGGTCCTCCTCAGTTTCAGCTAGCAGGGTTGTGTCATCTGCATAACGCAGATTGTTGACAGATTGTCCACAAATCTTGACCCCCACATTCCTCCTCATAGAGCCCAGCCTCCAGGATAATCTGTTCTGCATGGAGGTTGAAAAGGTATGGAGACAGGACATATCCGATAGTTATCTATACTCCCAGATCAAAATACATGGAGAGAAAATGAATGAAGAAATGGTAAATCACTTGTAAAGGAAAAGGTCAGCCGGAGACATTTTGGGGAAATAAGCCAATTTCTTCTGGAGAGTGACATAAAGGCCAATGAAGACAGGCTAAAGGTATCAGGGAAGATAGATGAATGACTTCTGTGTTGTTGTTTTCCAGATACCACCGAATCAGCTCTGACTCATGGCAATCCCATGTGTCAGAGGAGACTTGTGTTCTGCAGGGATTACACTGGCTGATTTCTGTGGAAGTAGCCAGCCAGGCCTTGCTTACAAGGCACTTTTGGTGGACTCCCACCTCCTGCCTTTTGACTGGCAGCTGAGAGTGTTAGACATGTGCACTTTTGAAGCATGACCATCTTACACATATCTATATAATGAAAACAAGCATCCAGTGTAATACAACTGGATGGACCTTATAATAGGAGAGGGGTGTAAGTTAGAGCAAATATTCCACCAACATTAATGCACACACACAAGTCACTCATGTATCTTTTAATATGAAGTCTTCAATTCTAGAGCACCCGATCATTTAATATTAAGGTTCCGGTTCTCATTCTTCTACATTTTCCAGTTAAGGCCCTTGATGCTGATGCTTGGAATATGGGTATGACCAAGACATGACAAATTCTCAACTTTTGTCATTTATCATGTTGTTGCTTTTTGGTCTGGTTGTGAAGAATTTGGGGCTTTTTATGTTGAAAGTAATCCTGCTGGAGGCTATAGCTTTTACTCTTCAGAATGTGCTTAAAGTCCTTTTCACATTCAGCAAGCAATGCTGTGTCATCTGCAATATCACAGAATGTTAATGAGTTTTTTTTCCCAGCCTGATGCTGAGTTCTTTTTCAGATCCTCTAACTTCTTAGATCTTTTTGTTCAGTATATACATTAAGTATGGTGAAAGAGCTAAATCCTGGCACAGGTCTTTGCTGATTTAAAGCAGAGTATCAGAAAATCAAAAGGACCGAACTTGCTCAGCATATCTTAAGCTCAAGGAACTGAAGAACAAATTCAAACCCCGAGTTGCTATAATCAAGGATCCTTTGGGCAGAATGTTGAATGATGCAGGAAGTATTAAAAGAAGATGGAAAAAATATATCGAGTCACTGTATCAAAAGGAATTGGAAGACACAGAAGAATTTCATGAAACAACATATGAGCAAGAGCCTATGGTGATGAAAGAAGA